GGACTAAAGTCTCGTGATTTCAGTTAGTCCAAAAATGGTGATAAACTACGAGACTGCAACCAAAGTATACCCAAAATTTGGATGCTAATCAGTCCCGATGTTACACCCTCTCCTCTGGAATCACGTTCATGACGACAATATTTATGAAAATTGTTATACGCATATTATACGTTTATAGAGTTGTAGTGAGTACGTTTCGTCACCTACTTACCTACTTTTTATTCGTATAATTAACTTATTTAAAGAAAATCTTATTATTTTTAGTGTAAACGGTGACGGCGGCCGACTGCATCGGTGTCAATCCAAGAAATGTTGTCCAACACCACAGAAAACGTACATAATATTATCATATCGTCATAATTTATTTAATAATAATAATAATAAAAAAAAAAATAATAATAATATAGTGTATGTGGGGGGAGGGGGGTGATACATAATATCATATAATATATTATATTAATTTAAAAAAATAAACGTGAGATGCAGAAGAGTCGACGGAAGAATATTGACGCGCGACGGATCGTACAATTATATTTGTTTATACAAATGATAAAATAAAGAGAGAAAAATAAACAAAACAATATGGCGATCGCAACATTATTATTTTAATATCGTTGCAACCTCCGATTATCATTGGATGGATGGTGTGGGTAAAATCTCAGTCCGAGTCGCCGCACGAATCGCTCAGCGACAGGCCGGAGTAGCGGCGGCGCCGTTGCCGGCGGCAGTCGGCGGGCAGCACCGACGACGACGTGGACGGCCGCCGGTGGCCGGGCATTGCGGCGTTTGCGGCCGCCGCGGTGGCCGACGAGGAACACGTGTACGAGTAGTATTTGCCGTGGCGGTTGGTGGCTGCGGCCGAGGTGGACGCGGCCGGCCGGCGGGGCGACGGCGGGCGGTCGCTCGAGTCGGTGCTCAGCGACGTGGTGGACAGGTCGTCAAGGAAGTCAAAGTTGGAGATGGCCTCTCGCTCCTTGTCGCCGAACCGGACGAAGAAGTCGCTGCGGCCCACGATCGACTGTCGGAGTCCCGCTGTCGGGCACCGGAGCACGCCGAAACCGTCGCGGATGGCGGACGCTGAAATTTAATATCGTTATTGGTATTGTATATATAATTTTTTTTTTTTTTTACACAAGTATGAAGCATTAACAATAATGTATACATAACAATAATAATAGTATAAAAAAATAGATTGAAATATATTATCTAGATTCAATTAGTTGCAGGTATAGTTTAGTTAGTTTTAAATAATTAATTAATTTTTTTTCGTTGTTTGGCTGTGGACTTGTGTAGCTTCTTTCAGGTTGTCTTCTATATTGAGCTTAGATCTGATGTAAGTGAATTTATGGTATATATATATATATATATATATATATATATATAATTTTATATAACCTATAATTGGGTAACTTGGTAACCTAGGTTATTATTTTTATTTGTTTTACCACTCATCCATTATTAATTTCACGTTTTGATCAGCTATTTCGATTAATTGACAGTTAATATTCAAACCGAAAAACGATTTTTAGTGTGYGCGATAAAAAATAAACTCATACACAAAGCGCTAAAAATAGCATTTAATGCGAACCGTCAAAACAACGATTAATCGTCTTGATTATTTGAAAAATCGGATTAATTGATTAATCAAATATCATAAAAACTGTAAAATGGTCTAATAAAAAATAAATAATTATCGTAATAATCGAACAGCCCTAATAATTATATATGCACAAATATGGGTTAAATACGAAGACTGGCCAACTGTTTGTTCATAATAATATCTAAAGTTCGAGTAATTATTTTTGTTTTGCTATTTATTAGATTTACGAAATATGCAATTCCAGCTAGGTATAATCATATGAACTCATTTGACAGCCATGCATGCGAAACATCAAAATATGTCATAATTGGCGAATAATACGAATTTGAACGGTTATATATTATTAATTGTATAATATGCTGTCGATGTGTATGATTGTAAGCAACAAGCTATATCGAGAAAATATTATGCCATGGTATACTAAACCTAATCTTTGGTAAAATAATAATATTGTGGTATACCTATGTAAAAAAATCTAAATTCGATTGCCTATTTAAATAACTTTAAAAAGCGATTCTAAAATCGTTTTTTGAAAAATCAGTACTTGCGAGTAAGTTATAACTAACCACACGCAAATATCGACTAGACATATTCCGTATAGTTTCTGGTTTTGAGTTAAACCACAAATACCAACATCGACGTACTTATATCGAAATTACGCGATTTTCACTGATACAAAATATGATGAAACTCTCTTTTATATCAACCCGCCTTCGATTACTTTTGTCATATAACAAAAGTTAAACAGTACGACAAATGTTTTCTAAAAGTTACGAATAAATACATTGTACGTATTTGATATAACATCCGACTAACATTTTACAGAGCAAACTGGCGATCACTGTCTGTTATATTATTAAATACGAAGCACTTTAAGTTTAATGTCAGAGTATTATGTTATTATATTTTAGTTTGCGGTCGAGTGATAAGGATATACCGCTCGAACGTTTGTTTCACTATTCCGCTCGCATAAACTTTAAAAGCAAACATAAACGGTTCGTCATTCGATAGCTTTACATAGATATCTATGTGCAGTAGACCTATATCGACTAGGTATATAATGTGTGGGTACCATAATATTGTTGTTGTATATAAAAAATAAAAAAACTTTCCAAAAACATTTCGCCTGCAGCTGTTATTTAGAATGCAATATAATAGATACATATCTTATGGACCGCCAAATGGAACCATTAGTGTATACAAAATATTATGAAAAACGGTTTTGCATAAATGTATACCTTTACACAGTGTGCGTAGTTTAACGCAAATAAATTCCTTTGACAATACAATATATACACATCGACCAATTAATATTTTAGCGAAAGTAGTCCGAACCCAAGTCGGCATATTATCGGAAAACTTGATGATTTTAAAAATATAATATTATAAAATATTGTGGTTTGTTGTTTCGATTCTTAGATGAACGTTTTCCCGAATGCGTTTTTGATTTTTAAATTTCTCACCGTATGTTTTGTCATCACTATTACACTATTATATTATTAAATTACCTATTAATTTCTATGTGACGCGTTTATACGTGGTACTTACTCGAATGACTAATCCAATTAAATGATAAAAAAAAGTTAATTTAAATTTAAAAGCTTAAGCTCGAGCATCAAACAATAATGAATAATAATTTAACAAAAAAAAAAATTCTTACTAAGCATTCAAAACTGATTTCATAATAAATGCATTGTTCGAAGGATTAATTTATATATAAATTAGTTATTATAACTCTTACCAATAATTGGTAGCAGTGGCATATATAGGGGAGCCTAGTGGGCTGCAGCCCCTCCCGAAATTACAGTATTAACTGTTAACTATATTGTAGTCTCTAGGTGCTAGATAATTATTGTTAGTCATTATATATTATAGCCCACCCCAAAAATATTTTCTATATACGCTACTGATTGGTAGTGTATTGATTTAACGGGTGGACGCCTTTAGTTCACATACCTATATCTATTTAAAAACAACTTTTGAAAATATGTCTTCGATAACTTAAATGATAAACACAAAAATTCGTGTTGCAAGTACGTGAGGATGAAATGAAGATTCTTAACAGAGGGTATATAATATACTAATATATAAAAAAACAATTATGGCCCGTCATTGTCGACATCACAGTCGAATATTAGATTTGTATTGGAAAAAATTCGATTGAAATTAATTTATTATTAATAATATTATACAAAGATAAAACAATAGGATTATTAWGTGTTACGTAGTGTAGTGTAGGTTATTTATTATGTAAGGCTTTATTTTCGTGTCYCAAAAAGTATCACAAAAAAATTTCACGAAATTTCAAGCTCGAACACATGAGGTTTATAAATAGTTACTACGACGACGTAGGCATTCGAACATCGTACGTTTTAGAATAATACCGCTGTAAGTATCGATTTTTGTGTTTTTCATATTTTACTGCAATATTAATTTACCTTTTTTCTGTCTGCGCACCCGGTGCAACTTGTGCAGACGATTGTACGATTCCTCGTTAGTCGCATCGATACCAGCCTCGGCAGTCGGCCGTCTGCCGACCATTCGAGTAACGTCGTCGTTGGTCGGCTCACGTTCGTCGTCGCTACTATCATCGGTCGTGCCGTTGCAGTCACCGCTGGCTCTGCCGCTGCAGCTCTCGCCACTGCAACTCCCGCCACTGACGCCACTGCTGCAGCTGCTGTCATCGTCGTCGTCCTCGCCCGTCGACGCGCTGCTCGTGCTGCTCGATGAACTCCGGCTGGACGCCAACATGACGTCCAACAGGTTGGCTCGTTCCTGCGGCGAATGGGAAATTGTGTATTAGAACGAGTGATTTAGAGTAACATTAAGTGCTGTATATAGTTGTGCAAACTTAAGTAGGTTTATAGTCACGCGAATTGTTGCAAATAATAGTCGTTATATCGATATCAAACACCTGACCGAAAACTATTTGTATTGATGGCCAACTAACTTATTTTCCAGAGTGTTTGCAAACTTGTGGTAACGAATGAAACAATAACGAACACTCAAGCTCACAAACGCCGATAATTATCTAGCCTAGTGTTGAGTTTATAATTTTTTCCTTTATTATAAGTGAAAGTACTAAAGCTGGAGGACTGCAGGAGTTGGGTACGCGAGCGGAAATTATAGCATTTCACGAGTATTAGTGACTAAACGAGTTATTGGTTATTATAAACGAGTAMCTACAAGACAATAGCGACAATCAATGTTCGAAGTTCATATTGTAAAGTATATACTTAAAAGTATACCAACTTATCGGAAATATTGATATATTATTTCAATATTCCGTAGTCCGGGATCAAACACAMAAAAAAAAAATGATATTCTATAATACAATAATAAGATCCATCGACRAAATTGCGCAAGTTTTATTGGTCGTAYAATATTTACTATCAAATATATTATTTAAATTTACCAATACAATTTTAGTACACCATTACCTCGTAAGATTGTTTATTTTTATGCTGCGCCGTTTGCTCGATTTCGACTATCGGATAATAATATGCAAAATAAAAAATTGAAAATCGTGATTCTTCTTGGAAAGGGTGCTGGGGAAAGTTGCAAAATGAATAAATTAATTTTCCAAGTATATAACGAATGTCGCACAAATTCTGAAAATAATTGCGTAAATTCACACTAATGGCGCACTAATGATGAACAAAAAATAAAATAAATTGATTTTGCATTTCGGGGACAGGGCTAGCGTAATATGCGTATTAAATATGAGTGTATTGTCTTATTGTGTATAAAACAATACTGTATTTTGTTTAGTATTTAAATTGATTATGACACTGCAGGAGTTCGCTGACGGTCGTCTATTGCTYACGTGCACCACGAAAATAAATTGTAGAGGTGTCGTAATCGATGTTTGAAGTTCGAATAATTACTGTCGTCAGATGGAAATGATATTAACTATACATTATTGTAAAGTACCAAAATACTATTATTCACTGGCCTGAGCGGGATGAACGTTTTTTAATGTTCTACTGCGGCTGATAACCGTACGCATTTGGTCTAATTGAGTGTTAAAGTACCCGGGCTATAATTATTAGGAAACCATCTACATAATCAGATTATACAGCCTGCAGTGGAGGTCTTATCATCGTAAAGTTTATTACATCCAAACATTGCAGGAGATTATCGAAAACTTATTTCTGTGTAGTAGATTTGATTACGCGGGGTTTTAATGAGATTATAATTAAAAAAAAATCACATAACCCATAGAAGATAGTTCTTCGAAACAAATAATACCTGCCTTAATTGGTATTATTATAATATAACAAACGTCGACACGTCGTATGCGGTTTCCCATCACTATACAGTCTGAAACTAGTAGGTTGTATTATTCGTATTATTATGTGTGTTGTCAGTTTGTCACAGAGTCAAAAACTATTTTCATCGAGACACTAAATACTGATACATAGTATATATTATATATATATATGGTGTAAAAGAAAGACCTGACAAAAACAAACAAAATTATGCTAATTAAACGTATGACAAAAATTGTTAATATTATACGGTAAGTAAATAATTTAAGAAATATACTCATGTCAGCAAATTCAAAAAAAATCACATTTTTAAAAAAGTTAGTACATTCAAAATTAATTTAACCAAAAAAAACATCGAATTTTAAAAAAATTCTAAATAATAAACTACTTGACAGAGATAAATCTTTTTACCATTAAAATTGCTCTTATAATCAGATTYACAAATAGGCTATTATGAATTTAACCAAACTCTTTTTTATTAAATTTGAAGTTTTTTATTTTCAGTACTCATGTAACGACAGGGTCACTTAATGGGAAAAAAAAATAATTTGAACAAAAATAATTTCAAAAGTCAGTTCTATCTGTTACACCTTGTACGTATAACCCTAACCTAACCCTAACCTAACGYCATTGTGAAAAAAATTAATCAATGAATTGTCATTAATAAGCGATTGAACTTTAGAGCTCTAGGAATGTATATTATATATACACTACAGTGATTGATACAGAGAGTGTTTAATTACCAGTCCACTTTGGGTACCGTAATAACAATAAGTGTCGTTTTAATGTTGTAGTTTTTTTTAATTAAGGAGTTCAATATAGACAATATACGTGTAGGTTACGTATGATTGGCTGCGTGTTTAGCATTATGCAATTATTATATTGYAGAATAATATTGTAGGTACTATGCAATGTGACTGTTGTCAAAATAAAATATTTAATATCTGAGTAAATCATACATTTTTAATACGCATAACACCCTTGCCTCGTCCATCGCGTAGTTCTCCATTTCTATCATATTATATTAATATTTCCGACCAATAAGAAATGGTGAACTATTTGCAATGATTTTGTTCGTATTAGATCAGTGAAGAGGGGATGCACCAACCGGTCAAAATATTATATAATAATATTTTTTTTTTTTTGTGATCATACCTATTATTTAGTCATGGTCCGAATGATCCTGCGTCAATAAAGCACAGTTAAATGATGGTTAAAGAATATTATTGTTTTGTCTTAAAGTATACCCCGTACCAATAATTGTAATAATTAACCTAGTTATCGGATAAAATGTTTGAAACCAAATTTGATTTCATCAAATCCGATGACTTGAAAAAGAAATCATATGAAAATGCGATATATAGATTCGTTCGGTGGTATGCGTTACGGTCTTAGACTGACCAACGCCACCGATCATGTCTGTGTAAGTTAAAACATTGATTTCGAATACCTTTGGGTCGGCGAAGTCGATGTCTCGTTCGACGTGCACCCACCCGGTGGGACAACAGCACGCCTCGTCCAGGTCGGGCGACGACGACGGAGAGCGACGTTCGACGACGTCATCGTCCTCGGGTGACGTGCCGAAGTGGGCGTGTGCTCCGCCGCAACCGTCCATCCAGTTCAATTGGTCGATCAGATCCTTGGACGACGCGGCCGCCCACGCGGTGACCATGCACACCGTGGTGTCGGCCGTACATCCACTGCTCGAACCGCCACCGCAGACGGACGACGACGGTGGCTGCGGTGACGTCGACTTGGCTGACGCCTCTTCGTCTTCCTCCACCACGGTCCTAAGCAGCGTGGACAGCGGCGTGGACGCGGCCGTCGGCGATTGGTCGGCCACGTAACTGCAGTCCTCGGGCAGACACTCGATCTCCACGTCGCTGCCGCACAGCCCGCTGTCCTTGGAGTTGAGCAGGTTGTCGCTGCAGCTGTTGCTGTCGTACGTCTGATGCGCCACCAGCAGCGCAACCGGTGGCGTCGGATTGGACGTCGGCACGGTGGGTAGTGGTGGCGGTGTCTGAGGCCCGACATCGGTCACCGGTTGGTGATGGCAATCCTCGTCTTGGACCACAGGYGACGGCACTCGCGGTGGCTCTCGTTTGTCTTCGGCCTGCCGCGACAAGCAGTACTGTTGCTGTTCGGCGATGAAGTCCAGCACGCTCTGCAGGGCCTGGTCGCGGTCCGACTGCGCCTCGACCGCCGGCGGCGTCCCGTGGTCGCATCCTCCGCCCGTTACGCTCCGTGACGAGGTGGACGCCAGGCTTTTGGAGCTTTCGAACTTGACCAGTCGGTAAAAGTCACGAGTGAAATCGGTGCCGACGATCGGGCCAGGTGGTGGAAGCAGTTCGATGCTGTCAGCGGAGCAGCTGACCGACGACCTCTTGGACGGTGGTGTGTCGGCTGCCGCGTACTCGTCCGCACTCGACCACGAGTCACCACCCGGTGAACCTGAACCGAAAGACGACTGCTGGTGCTGGTTSTGGTGTTGGTGAAGGTGATGGTAAGGGTGATGGTGGTGGTTGTGGTGGTTGTGTTGTTGCTGCTGCTGACAGTCGTGCTGGTGTTGATTGTGGATTTGGCCCGGCTGTGCRTAGGGGTGTTGTTGGTGTTGATGTGGTTGTTGCTGTTGTTGGTGGTGATGGTGATGGTGGTGGTGGTGGTGCTGCTGGAAGTGACACCACGACATGTCTCTGGTCGATCCAATGTCTTGTAGTAGGTCACCTTTACGGCCACAGGATGTCGACGACGAGCCGGTAGGGTCGTCTTCTTCGATGCACGGCAACGACTGTTGCAGTTTTCCGTCCACCGCCGACATCCGCTTCCACGCAGTCGCCGTCCCAGTGCCGTCGTCCATACTCCAGTCTTCCAGCTCGGCCGCGTCGTACTCCATCCGTTGCTGGATGGCGGTGCGCGTCTCGTCCAACCGGAGCCAGTGCTGCACATAGTCCATGTCCCAAAGCTCGCCACCGCTGTACCACGACGTCCGGTCTTCGTCCTCGGCGAAGCCACCCGTGGCCGCGGCCAGCTTAAGAAAAAGATGCGAGTCCGAGTAGCTGCGCATGATGTTGTGCATCGCCGGCATGCATCGCAGCGGTGGATAACTGTGACGTGGGTTGATGAAGCTGAACGAAAGGCTGAGTGGCACGAATATCACATCCGTGTCCTCGCTGTTCATCACCCTATAGTAAAACATCAAAACGCTTTGATTGAAATCACATTTTTCTAAGTATTTTAAGGTCATTTATCACTCTGAAATATTATTATTATTTCGTATGGTGTAAAATAATTATACTATAAAATAAGGAAAATATCAGAAAATATCAGAAAATATTGTATGTGAAGCCACTTGGGTGATACTTCTGCAGGACATTAAAACCTTAATACTCCAGAGCACATGTCAAAAATCTATTCCGAATTCGTGAACAAATCAACATGCTGATAACCGCGGTCATACATATAATTGTGAAAACAAACATAAATTCCTAATTGACAAATCAACTGWCTTTATTAAAAAATAATAATAAACTTATATAGATTGAAAAAGTGCCCTGAAAATTATGATTAACTATACAAATTAACTTTTATCAAAACCAAGAAGTTATTATTTTACACTACAATACTACACTAATTATTATAAACGATATAAATATTATTGTGTTAGTATTATTATCTATAAACAATTATGTAACTTGTCCGATTATTATTATTTCGCTGCACGACGAGTAAAATATTATTCAATAATATTAATAAAAATCACGGATTCACTGCACAGACACTAAGTTCGAGTAAATGCCATAACGAATCGCTCGGTAATTTTTTTTTTTAATGAGTTCTATCTCTTATTTATTTATTTTTTATATCCATTAAAGTCGATTTATTCGAAACGGTTCATTAATACACAGTTAGTTTAATGTAATTGCCAGAGGTCGAGATACATTTTATGCGACCCGCGAAATTTATTCAACCCTAACTGGCACTTTGCATGTAGTTAAAAACTATATAACTGTGCTCAATATAGTGTCCGCTGCAAAGTTAACCGTTGTCGTATGGCCGTTAAACGGAAATAAAATAAAAACTATTATCGATCTCCATTCGAGAAATTGTGCATATATCCAGACTATAGTGCACGCTAACTATACCTGTACCTATATGGATATACCAGACAGAGCCTATTTMATAATATATTAATTTACAATACAAACAGTATAAAGTTAGTATATAATTTGATGTACATAAAAACTGTAGATTATAATAAAATGGACAGTTCGAAGTCTACTAGAATATCAKTTATGTTATTAATTATTACAATAGACTAGTCTCGATAACTCAGATTCCAATAGAACTCAAAAACTTCAATAAATCGAATTTTGTTCTCGCCCCTTGAAGTGTGTTTAAGATAGTTTAAGGTATAATTAGAAAATACATATCAAGTCAAATTTATTTTCATTTTCCTCGAGATTCGAGTTATATCAAGATTCGACTGCAGTACATTAATATTATACTAGAAGTCTATAAGTATTATTGGTTTTTTCGGATCAGTCGCGTTTATAGGGAGTAATTAAATTATTCTTAGCCACAAAGGATTATGTAGAAGGGGACAGCAAGTATTATTACTTTGACAGTATTGCCTTCGTTTTTTTTTTTTGGAATTTAATTAATGATGAAAATAATTATTTGAGTGAAATAAATATAAAAGCGTTTTTACCATCATTAATTATACACCTTAAATGGTTCGTTATGACTCGGCAAACAGCTTCCAGTATAACGACGAATAATAATGGTAATAGTAATATACTAAATTATACATATATTAATTGGACTCTGTTTAATTTCGGGAAAAACTGCATTAGTAATTGCCGCAACGCGAATTGCGTGTAATTAACACGCAATAAATAGGCAAGGCTGGTGGAGGAGGTATATTTAGGTAATTTGGAGCGACCTTATCAGGCAGAGAAATGCTACGCACGGGTAATGGTAGCAAATACAATTAAAATATATACTTTGAGATTCGACGAATAATTTACGATAGTTATGACAGGGTAAAAAAGTTGGGGTGTAAATCACGTTTTCGAAAGACTGAACACCTATAAAACATATGGGTCACAAATCGCTGGTCTTGGAGGAATAATAGTCGCGACTGTATTAATTATAAATCATGATGCCAATATCTGTTGTTCACGTGAGTAATCTCAAACACACTTTTAAGCTTTATATAAAGAGTAAAGTATTAATCAGCGAAAAAACATTCAAATTCCCAGCGGAAAATTAATATAAAAAAAGAATATCATCATACAATTTATTACAACTTTGCATGGAATAACATAAATAATTTACMTAAATAAATAGTGGTAAATCACTGAAATTGTTTAATTTAGTTAGCTTATTTGTTAGAAAAAGTTGGCGATCCTGCTATAGAGGTTTTAGCTATTMAAAAAGTTAGTATGTTGTAAAATATATTATTATTATTATAATTATTATTTTTGTTGTTGTTGTTGTGTTTAAAAACTATAATGTTATAATACAAAGTATTTTTATTAAGTGTTTTTATTTTTTTTACGGAGTTCTTAGTTAATAATTATATTGCTTGGCAAAAATCTTTTAAGAGTTAATAGCAAACAACTTATGTTAGGTAAAATGAATATCGCGAGTTGGTCGTCCCACATACGACTTGTATTTAAAAATAAATCCTGAGTGTGTGAGCACTGCAGATAGGTATTTAAGATATTTTGTTATTTGACTTAACATTGAAAAAAAGAAAAACGTTAAAATAATGCGTACCTGGAACACGGCGACGATTCCATGAGCACGTTCGATTCGTTCTCGTTGGCTTCCTTCACGTCTTCCAATCCTTTAGTGGACGGAGGTTCGGTCGTGCCTTGCACGTCGCTTGACATGGTCGAATACCCTTCGTCTCGGTTACCACTCTCAGGCGTCTCGTCACCGAGAACTCTGTCGCATTTCGTCGAATCTTCAACTGCACGACAATGAACAATGCACACGATTAATTTTCATATTGTTTTTTTTTTTTTTTAATTTCGTTGTCACTATAAAGCGTGGCCGAGACAACTATAATAAAGATGGCCGTCAACTACCGTTTGGCCATATTCAAAATTCTATTGCCCGAAATTTTATTGGTCATATTTTGTGCRCACACATTGTATAATTTATTTTTTTCGGTCGTTTTTTAACTATTTGCAAAACATCATGACTCTGTCCGAATGGTGAAACAATTCTTTTATAGGAAAGAAATTGAAACGTCGTGGTAAACACAACGAACAGATAGCGCCACAGGTTTACTTACAACTTATACCACTCAGTTTTCCAGGAAATGGGACAACCATAATATTATATAATATACCCTAAATAGATATAGTAGCGAAAACTAAATCGAAATCGGTTTAGTAGTTATTAACTTTATCAAGGGCCARCAAAAGAATAAGTGCAATTTCTTTATATTTTAGTATGCAATGTCATGACCTACATAATATTAAAATTATTAATTTTAACACATGATTTATTAGTATTGTTCGTGTGTGTGGTATTAAATGATAGACAAAATTTCAATAAAAAAATTCCTCAACAGGTTGTCACCCCAATGTATATATCAACCAGTTTAACATTATCTTACCGTTGTGCGAGCAACAAATCTCTAGATTCAACGACTGCGGTCGGTGGTACGACACGGCCGTCTGCCATCCGTCATTTTTTAATCTCTTCAGCCCCTTGGTGAGRTCGCAACTCGCCGGTCGCTCAATAGCCATTTTCTGTGGGGGTAAATAAAAAATGATTAATAATAATTATCAAATAAACCTAACCGCGACGACGACAACAACAACAATGCGTTATCATTTAAAAAAGATTAATCACACGTAGTCGCATCAATAACGATTATAATATTATTATTATTGCGTCTATTATAATATCGTGTGACTCACCACGGACGGCGACCGATGGATGTCGAACATGACCGATCGACTCTCGGCTACCGGCATTGTGTTCGGTGAATAGTTAATCTTCTGGCCCTGGAGCCGTTGCACCAGAAGTGTGGATAGTGCGCAGTTTCCGGCCTCGAGCTCTTTGACACGGTGCTGGAGTGAGGATATCTCTTCGCGCAGACCCTGCGAGCGAAAAAGAAACGTTAATATTTATTTTACCATATTATGATGAGTATTGAGTGATGGCGACGAAAAATATTTTCGCGCTGTCCTGCACTGCAAGTTGAGTGTATTTTATTTTATTTTATTATTGTATTGTGTAAGCCAGAGCGCAATATYTCGATAAAGGATACACGAATAAAAAGAATTACCTTCTTCTAAATTAAAAATAAAAAGTTGAAAATGCATACTATAGGAAAGTTTAAAATATTAGTCATCCCTATGAATTTTTAAACTTAAAAAAAAATATGAAAATTTCTCATACTTCCGAGTATAATAACGCCAACTGATAAAACTTTTATCTGGAATATATATTATTTTAATGTTCGGACGTCCTTGCAAAAAATGTTCGATTACAATTACACTGCAGTGGTAATTCAACACGGTCGTAATGTGAGTATAATAAAATTAAAGGAACAAACTATAAAAGCTTGTTTTTCATGTTCACAAAATAATATTTGATATTACTTTTTGCTAATTAAAAATTGTAATTATGACGAGTAAATATATGAATAAAAACTGTTTTGTTGGATGAAAAATTTGTGACGGAAGCTAAAATCCATGGTTGGGTAGAGAACRTATAGGGAATTTGTATGCGCATATGTTTTTATAAAGTTTCCAATGACTTGAGGGCGTCAACATTTTAAGCACGAACCTGACGTCTATAAGTCATATTAACGAGGTTTTTTAAATTACTGCTCTGAGAAAAAATTAAAAACAAGTCTGAACATAATAATATTATATCGTCGTGTTATATATTATATTGACAATCCGTGCGGCGATGCTTACTTTTTGTGACAGGACCGCTTTGACCACCTGTTTGGCCACGTCGTCTAGACACCTCTCGTACTGTTTGCGCTGTTGTTCACCCTCGCGTTCGATGCGGTTTTTCTCGTGTTCCAATATCCGGAGCCGTTCGACAAGCGCCTTTTGTACTTGGCTGATGCCCTGCGGAAGACAAATAAGACATAAGATCAAACGATGTCTCACAAATTGTGTGATGGCTGTCACGTACACGCTAAATCGATATTCCCCAAAAGAGCTCGTATCTTTTTTGTTAGATTGTGTGTGGTAAGTGTTCAAAAATAAAAAAAGTCACATTTTGCTAACGAAATTTGCGGGGGAGGGGGGTGGATTCGTGTTGCATATAAGATAATAAGACCTTTTACAGTTATATTTATTATATTAGTGTTACCGTTGCTTCGAGAGTGTCGATCTGCTTTTTCAACGTTTCGTTTTCAATCTTGAGTTTGGTGATTGCGTTTTGGAGTTGCAGGATTTGATTCTGAAACGAAAAATACGGATTTGTTAATACATGGTTTCGCCCGATTTATGTTAACGTTTCGCAGTGATTGGGGACAATAAAAGTTATAGAATAGGTTAGGTTAGGTATATAWATATTATATATATTATACGTTTGTATCTAAGGTTTAAGTAGTTTAGCCAAAGCTCTTACGATGTTTTTAAAATAAATTATACCAAACTGCGGTTTGCTAGCCTGGCTTGTTGAAGACGTCTAATATTCCCACCAAATTCCAAACCACGTTGCATTATTTCCATAAATACTTAAGTCGTAAATCACCTTACTCTGAACATATTTTGTAATGTTACACTGTTTGTTCGTTCTATTATATTATTGTTATAGAATATCGGTTTTCGAACCGGAAGACTTTGTGGCGTTAAATAGAGGAATGGTTTAAAAATACGTTGGAGCATAGAATTTTTATCTCGAAGGCCCTCCGTATTTATTTTATACCCTCGACGACTTGAGCACTGCGCATTWCCGCAATAAGTGTCGCTCAAGAGAACGCAGTACCGCAATATATACATAACAAGACCTTCCTAAAGTTAGCATCACAACTATGACAGACACACGTGAAACACAACCAACAAACTTGTTGGACATTGTTGAATTAATCCCAGAATTTGTTGTACTTTGTTTTCGCCAATAGAGYTTTCGACACTTTTGTGTTTCCTGCAAGTATACTAMAACAGCACAACTCAACAAAATGTCACMCCCACAAAAAATGTCAGGCGTGATAAGAGGTTCGCGGGGATCTAGCAGACTTACATTATTATATTACAAAAAATTAATATACGGCTATACGGTGACCCTACGCGATCGTGACGTCGTCAGCRATTTTTTTTTCTGTTTCGCTCGTCGAAAACTGCACGTCCGARAGAGTGTGTGATGCAAGTGCCCACACGCATGTTATATATTTCCACGTTTACCTAGCCGACTGCAGCGTTGTATATTATTATCATATTAATATATTATTATAGACAACCAGCGTACCTAAACGGGGCGGAAACAACCGCGGAAGATTTATAGACTCGTGTCTGCACGTCTGTCGGCCGACCCGCAGAGAGTACCTATAGCTGGTGTAAGCAAATATATATGAGTGTGTGTGAGAAAGAGAGGCAGAGACAGAGAGAAAAAAAATTCAGAGCAGTTCGAAAAGCGTATCATTAATCTTAAGACGGCTGCGGATCTCCCCCGACACCGGCCGAATAAATAAATAAATTGATACCGTCGTGCCGACCCCCGATTTTTTCTCTTGGCAAGTCTTCTCTTAACGCCCCAAATCTTTCGTGCGGTGGTATAATATAAGTCTCTCTCCTTTTTTATACATGTATACACACGTAAATGTGCAGTAGTGTTTGAGTAAACTTTACGGTTGGGTAAAAGCCTCAAGGCTCAAAGGCCTCTCTTGCAAATAAATGTACGTCGATTTCGCGGTAAAACCGATAACCACGAGCAGACTTGCCAAGATAGTTATATATAGGTAATGCGCGCATTATAATGATGATAACATTTTCGCCACCACTACATCACTATATAGGTCAACGATATAGTGCATCGGCAAAACGGTGGAACTTAAATTAATAAAAAATAATGATTAAAAAAAAGTATAATATACGTCATAGTTTTTTACTGATCGTGATTATCTATTTCGCTCGATCCGACACTAATCGCATTTCGCGCCATTATATCTAATGCCCATTATAAGTGTATTATACTAATATTCCTCCTACGCCCGCGAGTCACGACCGATCGATGGTTATAAAATGTTCTATAATCATACTAAACGAGATAGGTATATTATAAAAGCCAACAGGTACATCTCATGTCGTTGTCGGAGAACAATATAATCTTGATTTCGAATTTAATGTTATGCTGGCTGTTTATTTTACAACGCTGTATAGAACATTTTCTGAAACACGATTTACGTATATTACGATGGCCTATAACATCGATTTAATTGGTTAAGGTATTAAGGTATACGAGCGGATTGTTTACTGCAGTAGTTACCTATATACATGAATATGTAATGAACAATTTTAAATTTCTTGGTATAATTATACTATTAGAGTCGATTAAAATGGAATTGACTTTTGGTACTCATCAGTTAAACGATCGGGTTGATTCAAAAAAATATTTATTTACTTTAGCTTATATTATTGGTTATTATAGGTTAGAATTATTATGGAAAATATACAATAACTAATAAGATGTCTATATACCAATGCGATACTAATCATGAGTAGGCTTAAAGAAATAAAAAATAAAATAAACTWATGGCGACCCTACCACATCTCGAWACGCATACAAAATAACTTGAATCGAACACACCGACGTCACTTATGTATATTGTATATGTAGTAATAAGACATAAAGAACAACCCTTCAACAACCCTTCTGCAGCTAATGTGGTGGACCATTCACAGTAAAACACACAGTCTAAGATTGCCCATTGTTTACCTTTCCAAGAATCATCCTCGAGCATTCTTCGACTATTTATGGAAGGAGCGCTTGGAGAACACAACTATTACACTTACTCAATTAATTTTTTTTTTTCAAAACCATCGATATAAATACTAAAATTTAAAATAAAATATGTTAAGATAACATAATTCATAAAAATACGTAATTACCGTAAACATATGCTTAGTAAATAATCATATAAYATAATATAAATGTATATAGTTGAAAGAATAATAATAGTATTGTCTGCGAACAAAATGGTAATGTCATAAACAAATAAAATTCTGTCCTCTCCACGGAATCGAATTGAAAAATAAATTAAAATATCTGTACCGGTATATATTGCAGCAAAATAATATTACGATTGTGTCATCGGACGATTATTAAAGTGCGATCGAGAGACAAGCGACTGTACCTACGCCAAATTATTTATACGAATAAATGATTCGTTTAAATTCGGGTAAAAGTAACACGAGAGAGGTTTAACCTGTCACGCGTGCGTTAAAYTATGCACGACGAAAAAAGGTCTTACACCCGCGTCGACCTGTCGGGACTTACGCGTGTTTTCCGATTGTGTTATCAATCGCGAACAGATGACCTCCCCCCCCAAAAGGTCATAGGTATACACGTGCGAGTGTGAAAAAAGCCGCATAAATTCTCCTCGGAAATATATTATATATTATAAAACTCGATCTGTTTTATGATTATTTTTTTTTTAACGATTTCGTGACGTTAACAACTTGTTTCGAAGACGTGCACGCGTGTTCCGGTCGCCGTTTCGTGATCGATGCGTGATAATAATATTATGTAAATAATTTATCACATTTTTTGGACGCGTGATGACATCAATCTCTTTGAACAAGATTTACGCGCCGTTTGACATTTTATTGCAACGTACCTAAAACCGGCTATCACGGTTTCAGATGGATTTTAACCTTACGGCGG